AACCCCCCCCCCCCCGTCCCCCCCCCGTCCCTCTTCCACTTTCCTACCACCCCCACCACCTACCTACCTACCATTGTCATAGGTAACTTAGAGGATAGCATACAGCACCCGTAAAATGGTTAAATGTTACAGAAATTAATAATCTATTACATGTGATAATCATGGACATCGCGCATATTGTACAGACTCCACCTCATTCATTGATCATCTACTCGACTATAATTATTAAATATTATTAAAGTAATTAATATTATTGTAATATCTCTAAGGTATAATAATCGTAAAAAGTTATCATCTCGTGTGTATGCAAAGTGAAAAAATGTAATCGGAGAGTGCATGACGGAGAAAGCGTAGAACGGTATGTACGCTCGAGTGAGAAAATTGTAATACGTGTGCGAGTACGTGTGTGTGTGTGTGAGAGAGAGAGAGAGAGAGGATGTGCGTGACAGCGCAAATGAGTCGGGGCAATTCGTGTATGGAAAAAGATTATAAGCAGAAGGAATACAAAAAAGAATTTTCAGATGACCGAAAAAAAAAATAAATAAATAAAGTATACAACATGAAATGAAAAGCGAACGCAAAGTTTCAAGAGTTTTGTTATGAGACTGACCGGCCCGCCGCGGCCTCCAGTTTGCAATTACCGTACCTTTGTACCAATATGTCGTGTCTAATAACCCAAACGAAGGCGATAACAAGTAATTATCCCGAGACATAAGAATCCCAAGTACGTTGTGGTAGCTGAATTATTAGGGCCGTAGCGTTATAAAGGAAGAAAAAAAAACGAAAAAAAAAAAAAGAAAAAAATCCACAAACATATTATGTGTCGTGTGTGCATGCATGAAAAAGAAAAAAAAAAGTCATATGACAGGAGTAAAGAACAAAGTAGAAGCAGAAAATGTCCCAAGAATTTTCAAGTGAGAACGCACGCGTGATCGAGCGCATGTAATTTTCACGTATGGCTGAGAAGCAAGGATAAATGAAGGAGCAAGAAAGTACATTTGGCAACCTCGCGGGGAGGAATCTAACGGGAAACTTTTTAACGGAGAAATAAATTCGAGACACTTGTATGTACATAGTAGATTCGTAAGGGTGAGAGAAAAAGAAAATCTTCGATTTTTTAAGTACACGTGTCAGGAAGGGGCGGGA